TAGACTAGGCTACAAACTTTGGCAGAGGGTTCAGAGGGGAGTTGCTCTTCCTGATGCTCCAGATAGCTGGCTGGGAAGGAGGGATGGAGGGAGGGAAGGTGGGAGAGCGGGAGGGAAGGAGCTGCCGTCCAAAGCCGAGTCCCTGGCAGGCACGGAGCTCCTGGGACTCTGTCGTAACACGAAGAAGTCACCAGCGCCTCTCAGAGCCTGCCCCTTGTCCTCCCCCCCGGCCACCCCGCTCAGCTCAGCACCCCGGGTACCACTTGGCCGCGGCAAAAGTCACCCCGTCCTCCCTTAATCCCACTCCCCCGAATCCCTTGCAGGATCGGGAATCAGCGGCGTGTTGGGGAATCCTTTCGGCAGCACGGCCTCCCGGGTCACTCGTGGGGCGCTGTGCCCCCAAATCCTTCTTGTTCTTACTGGGCAAAAGAGGGGTCCCGCTCAGTCCACCCCCTCACCCCCGTCTTTCTTTCTCCTCTCTTCACTTGCCCCACCGCTGGTCCTACGGGGATGAATCCCCCCCGCAGACCCGAGCCCGCCCTCGGGCGGCTCCCGCCCCCGCTGCCGCTCCCCGCAGCCCCAGGCTGCCCGTGGCACGGAGGGGCGGGGGGGTGCGGGCAGCGGGGGGTCGGTGTCCGGCCCCGGGTGCTCCAAACCCCGCGGCAGAGGCCGGGACAGAGCGGGGCAGAAGTGCGAGGAGACATTTGGGAGCAGGGAATCTCTCCCTGCCAGGGAACAGCCCCGGACCCGCTACCGCAGCGTCTGTTTAGCTTTGTATCAATACGTGTGCTGTTTTTTCATCCCGCTTGCAAAGATACCTCTGGATACCTCTGGATACCATTCGGGGTTGGTATTCTCCGAGTTAAGTAAGAGTACTAATTGCTAATGGTTTAAGCGTTGCATTAGCATCAAGTATTTCCAAGGCGAAGTATTGGGTTTCATATTTATAAGAGAAATTTACATTTGTACATTGACTCATGGTATGACGTAGGGTGAAACCGGTTTCCTCCCCCTCCCCCCACTTCAGTTTGTTTTGGTGGAAATGGGGCAAATAAGCAAACAGCAAAAAAAAAATAAGCCTTTTAATCCACGCTTTAATAAGCGCTGACCGCAAAGAGCAAGATTTTGTTGAGTAGGTAACTGAGCCCTCTCTCTCTATCTCCATCCATCCCTCCCGCCCTCCTTCTCTCTCGTGATTAATTCAGGGACTGTAATCATGGACATTGTACATCAAACCTTTCTGCTCACGCTACAGACTCCTGCGGATTTTTATTGGTTTACATGAAAGCGAGTAAACATATTTCAGAGGATGCCCTTTCAGTCCGGCTCCGTTTCCACCGCACATAATTCCAAGGACAATTTGTTTTAATAAGAAGGATGGATACGGTGTTAATGGTTTTCAATTTGTGTTTTAAAAACAAATAAATAATAAATGAAATATTTATAAGTATCGATCGAGGGTTTCAGGATTTTACAAACGTCTTAACACAATTCATAGATGTTGGGGTTTTTTTTGTTTGGTTGGTTTTGGTTTCTGTTTGTTTGGTTTGTTTGTTTGTTTAAATTTAGGAACCTGCGTCTTTTATGCTGTTTATTGATTTAAGCAACGTCCGTGTCTCAAATGAGAGACTAATAGATTTTCATTAAAATAGGCTCTCTTAATCCTGATTGTGAATGGGTATGATTGATCCATCCAACCCACTACACGTCTATAATATTAATAAAGGACATTATCATGGCAGGACTTGCTTTTCCGTCATCAGGGCACTTTTTCCCCCCCCCCTCCTTAAATCTTCAAGATTTATTTGGGGGCCTGAAAATGACCCGCAGGAGGGAAACGCATTGGGAAGAACACATATTTATATTAGATTTAATTTTTTTTTTTGTAGCTTCAGTGCAAAGACTTATTAATTGTTTTTTATTATCTGCAAGCCGTTGTGGCAACATATAGTG